TGGAAATTATTGTATCTGCTCACTATTTGCATTCCATCTCATTTTAAGGATATCTGGAAAGTGATTGAAATAATTATTTGAATTTTAATATTATATTAAATTAAAGACTGGGATTAAAAAAGTGGAAAAGAAATTGCTGGACAAACAATTTGGACTGGAATACAAAAGAGGGAGGTATGAGGAAGTCCAGAAAATAAGCAAATTTAAAGACGGAAATGGAAAAGAGATATTGTTTTTTTAATTGTTATGTTCTTTTTTTATTGTTGATTTTTGTCTTTTGTGTTTTTTTTTATTTTCTCTTTGAGATTTGTATGGTGTATTTGTGTATTTTTCTTTGATGTTTTTCTTTTCTTTTTTTGGTTGTTTAATTTTTGATTGAAACTTTAATAAAAATTATTATTAAAAAAAAAAAAGAAATAATTATTTGATTTAATTGACAGGTCCAGAGCATCCAAGTGTCAACTCCTGGGTGCACACTAGGGTTGCGGACACAAAAGTTGTTCAGCTTTTTTAAGTTTTGCCCAAAGCTGTTGAGCATTTTCCCTTGCTGTTGAGCAAAGAAGTTTTTGAGCTATTTTAAAGGTAATTCATCAAAAACTACACTTCTGAAATGGGTTGGCATACGTCCGGATTTTCCCGGACATTGGAGCAATTTCCACCTGGAGACCGTTTCCAACGGCCGAATCCCAGCAAAGTCCAGGAAACTATGGACATATGGCAACCCTGGCACAGCTGGCCCAAGATATTCTGGCACCTGAGGTGAACTACAGAATGGAGAAATCAAGATTGACATCAGAATCTGCTGCCCCTCTGGATTCTGCCGCTTGAGACTGTCGCCTCACCTTGCCTCATGGGTGGGTTGGCCCTGGCACATCCAAGTGTACGACAACATGAAAACATTTAAAGCAAACACAAAGCAATCATTAGAGTGACTGCCTTGAGTGACGTCCTCCAGCTCATTGATCATCACTACATTTCAGATTTCCATGCCAAAGGAAGCTTTTCTTCCAATGCAAATAGCAGGTGTGGGGGACCTGATCCAATCCGGGACCAAACTTGGGGTGGGAGGGGGGACAAATAATTTAAGCTCCCCCTTCATACAAGTGTCCTGATCTGCACATGGGAAGGTTGCACCTCCTATTTGTTTGTGTTTTTAAAGGTATTAGGTAATCCCTAACTCTGCAAGCTGTCTTCAAAATGCCATGCTACGTTTCTGGTTTTTTGGGGGGATCTTACTGCTTTATCCACTATCGCAGATAAAATTTTCAACATGCACACACAGATTGCATCTGTTATTTCGGTAAACCACTGTCTCTGTATTAAGTGGCATGCAAATATATTAAATGAGGGACGCGGGTGGCGCTGTGAGTTAAACCACAGAGCCTAGGGCTTGCCGATCAGAAGGTCGTGGTTCGAATCCCTGCGACGGGGTGAGCTCCCGTTGCTCGGTCCCTGCTCCTGCCAACCTAGCGGTTCGAAAGCACGTCAAAGTGCAAGTAGATAAATCGGTACCATTCCGGCGGGAAGGTAAATGGCGTTTCCGTGCACTGCCCTGGTTAGCCAGAAGTGGCTTGGTCATGCTGGCCACATGACCCGGAAGCTGTACGCCGGGTCCCTCGGCCAGTAAAGCGAGATGAGCGCCACAACCCCAGGGTTGTCTGCGATTAGACCTAATGGTCAGGGGTCCCTTTACCTTTAAATATATTAAATATATAGAATGAAATGAACAGCATCTCAACTGGTCCTCTGCCCCTTTGGTGCTATACAGTGGTACCTTGGCTTACATACGCTTCAGGTTACATACACTTCAGGTTACAGACTCCGCTAACCCACAAATATTACCTCGGGTTAAGAACTTTGCTTCAGGATGAGAACAGAAATCGTGCAGCGGCGGTGCAGCGGCAGCAGGAGGCCCCATTAGCTAAAGTGGTGCTTCAGGTTAAGAACAGTTTCAGGTTAAGAACAGACCTCCAGAACGAATTAAGTTCCTAACCCGAGGTACCACTGTATTCTGTACCAGTGGCAGCTGATGTCCATTGGAATAGGTAGGGTGGAAGGCTGGCCCCAAGGGTGAGTGGAGCCTGAGTCAATTCTAGTTTTGTCTCCATCCTCCTCCCTGCCGAGTCCTACAAGGGCAACACCAAGCCTTGAGGAGGCTGGTGAGCGGCGCCACCCCGTGGACCAGTTGCCAGCAGGAAGGCAGGCGAATGGGGGCTGGCAGAGGGCAGACTGAGGTCTGTGCCCCGTTTGCCCTAATGGGCTGGCCTCCTCTGCTTTGCACTTTCCAGTGTACGCAGAAAACACCCCAGGAAAACCTTTGGCGAAAAACACAAGCTCCCAAGTTCTCCCTTCCCATAAACTGCTTTCCTGCCCAGGATCTTCCGTTTGCAGGGATGTAAGCACTTGCCACGCTTAAGAGGAAACGGCAATAGGGACACCGTCCAAGCAGGATCACCGAACTTCGCCAAAACAGGATACAGTTTAGACTGCCCTGTGGCCAGGGTCCATATCGGGATTATCTCAAGGCGCCTTGGAAGAAGGTGCAAATGCAAATTATTTTCCCCGGCAGATTCTGATCGGCTCGGACTGTCCCATTACATTCCTGGCATCTCGCAGCCTCCTCCCTTCCTCCTACACAAGCCTCTCCCAAAGAGAGCTCTCAGGGGAATGGATGTTCCATTGGCAGCCTTCACAGGATGTCAAAGTTTTATATCTTTGTTTGAGTATATCTGCTGAATTACAAGCCACTAGTGCTGTATGAGAAACCATGTTGTTGGGCCCCACACCTCTGACTCATATATCGAGTTCCTTCCTCTGCTTGCAACAGCAGACATGCAGAGGCAGATGGGCAGTCGTAAGCAAATCTCAGAGTGTCAGTCCTGAGTCAGTACATTTCTGAGCACAATTCAAAGTGTTGGTGCTGACTTTTAAAGCCCTAAATGGCCTCGGTCCAGTATACCTGAAGGAGCGTCTCCACCCCCATCATTCTGCCCGGACACTGAGATCCAGTGCCAAGGGCCTTCTGGCAGTTCCCTCACTGCGAGAAGCCAAGTTACAGGGAACCAGGCAGAGGGCCTTCTCGGTGGTGGCACCCGCCCTGTGGAACGCCCTCCCACCAGATGTCAAAGAGAAAAACAACTACCAGACTTTTAGAAGACATCTGAAGGCAGCCCTGTTCAGGGAAGCTTTTAATGTTTAATAGACTATTGTATTTTAGTGTTCTGTTGGAAGCCGCCCAGAGTGGCTGAGGATGGAGACACTCCTTCAGGTATACTGGACCGAGGCCGTTTGGGGCTTTAAAGGTCAGCACCAACACTTTGAATTGTGCTCGGAAATGTACTGGGAGCCAGTGTAGGTCTTTCAGGACCGATGTGGTACACAGCAACAGCTTTATACTGAGCCAGAGCATTCATCCATGTCACTCAGTATTGTCTACACTGACTGGCAGCAGCTCTGCATGGTTTCAGACCAGGATCTCTCCTACCCCTACCTCCAGACGCTGGGGATTGAACCTTCTGCATGCAAAGCAGATGCTCTATCTCTGAGCTATAGCCTCTTCCCATGAAAAATGCCATATACCATGGGCAGCTTTACCACAATACCTGAGTATGTTTACTTTCCCCCATGACAGTGAATGGGAGCAACCCCTCTATTATTACAGGGGGGACACCACATACATACAGAAACTCCTACACCATCTGCAATCCATAGCACACACACACACCACTGCAATATAACAGATACAAATGGCCAGACCAACCCACACAGGGCAGGAATAGCAAGAATAAGGAGGTCTTGATGGTGAGAAGATAAGATTATCAGCTTAATATGATTTCTCTGCTGCAGGTTCCACACACACACACACGGTAGTTGCCATGGGATTGCCTAATTGCCTTCCATCTGGTTATCTGCTTCTTCCACAAACCTGCATTTTATCCTCATGGCAACCAGGAAGGATGCGCTAAAGGAGAGTGACTTGTCAGAGGCCACCTGGCAGGCTTCTGGGCTGATGACAAAAGGGCTTGAACCAACCGGGCACTCTTTCCTCGTAGCAATGGGAAACCTAATTTAAGATAGTGGTGAAAATAGAAATGGAGCGGGGGGGGGGGGCGTTCATCCTGGAGTGCTTAATCCAGAACACTTTTGCCTCTGGCTCTGTTCATCATCAGCTTTGGCTCTGTGCTCCACTGAAATGTGGCCCCTTATAGATGAACCCTCAAGATATCACAACCCTTGACAGGGGATAGAATTAATGTGGCCAACCCTTCTAACACAAAACACACAACCCGGAATTTGCCATATAGCGGCATTCCCCGCTACACAGGGTGCGCCCCCTTTTTGTATCAGGAATGCTGTTTTTTGAGTACATCTTTATGGAAAGGGAGAGTTCAGTTGTGCAGTACCTGAGCTGCATGCAGAAGGTCCCAGGATTGCTGGGATAGCTCCATTGGTAAAGTAAAGGGTTAGGGTAAAGGGACCCCTGACCATTAGGTCCAGTTGTGACTGACTCTGGGGTTGCGGCGCTCATCTTGCTTTATTGGCCGAGGGAGCCGGCATACAGCTTCCGGGTCATGTGGCCAGCATGACTAAGCCGCTTCTGGCAAACCAGAGCAGCGCATAGAAATGCCGGTTACCTTCCTGCAGTACCTATTTATCTACTTGCACTTTGACGTGCTTTCGAACTGCTAGGTTGGCAGGAGCAGGGACCGAGCAACAGGAGCTCACCCCGTCGCGGGGATTCGAACCACCGACCTTCTGATCGGCAAGTCCTAGGCTCTGTGGTTTAACCCACAGCGCTACCCACGTTGGTAGAGTAGGGGGACCCTTAATCTCAGGGTCGTGAGTTTGAGCCCTTTGGTGGGCAAAAGATTTCCGCATGGCAGGGGTTTGGCCTAAATGACCCTAGCGGTCCCTTCTATTTCCATGATTCTATGAATCCCCAGCATCTTCAAGCAGGGCTGATAGGGACCCCTTCCTAAAATTGTCATGTTTGCTGAGTTGCTTGGTTAGCTCAACTGGTTAGAGCATGGTGCTGATAATGCCAAGTTCATAGGTTTGATCCCTGTATGGGTGCATATTCCTAAATTGCCAGGAGTTGGACTAGAATCCACAGGGTCCTCTATGATTCTATGAAGTTCTATGAAGAAATCTCCCAGGATTTCCTTAGCACCTGTGGAACCTGAACCCCCTCTTCATTTTTAGTTGTTTTGTTTTTGTCCCACTGCTGCCGTCCCCCAGCATTCAGGGGACGGAGGCCAAAGAGGCCAGCGCAATGCAAAGACAAAAAATAAATAAATCGCCCTTTCAGTGTGCATTTCTAAAGGTTCCCACAATTGATACAAATCCCAGGCACAGAAGAGAGGATTTTCAGGTTAGGGAAAGCAGAACAGAAGCGAAGCTTCAGGCAACGGCTGGATTTATGCAATTGGGTTTTGCAACTTATTATTTCGCAGTCGTTGGCAGGCCCACCCCTGCGTTTCACTGGTGTGTTTTACACAGCGCCGCCTTTGTAAACTGTTACAGAGGTGCAGCAGGTCAGAAGGCGGCCCAGTTGAGAGGAGCGAAAGATGTGCCAGAGACCACCTCTGGCTTCGCTTAGATGTGGTTCTCGCATACAACAACCAGATGCGTTGATGAAGCTTCTGAAAGCAAGGGGGCGGGTGGAATCGGGGCCCACGAAGGCCTCCAGCTTGCTCCACCTGCAGAGATGTGCCAAGAAAGTCGAAAAGGGGGAACGGTAGGAAATAAACAATATTCCAAAGGTGATCTGTGGGTGTTACGCAGATGCTTTGCTGGCACGAAGCTCTTGCGGCGGATTTATTTCGGAAGACGCAAAGCAGATGACCGCGCCAGCGAAAGGCAGCGCCGCTTCTCCGAATGGGCCTGGAGGGCATTCAGAAGGAGCAAAGAATCCAAATGTCTGGGACATCTGGATTTTACTCTGTTCAGATGGAAAGCTAAGCAGCAGGGAGATCCAGGAGAGGAAGAGGGGAGCTAGCTGGTTTATCCACAGTAAGACCACTGAGCTCAGTATTGTCTACACAATAGTGGCTGGCTACCAGTCCTACCTGGAGCTGCCAGGGGCTTCTGCATGTGAAGCAGGTGTCTACCAATGAGCCACAGCCCCTTCCCCTTAAAAATTCAGATGCATATCCTGAACACGGCTTTGAGAGCACAGGAAAAGAGCATAGGATGTTGAACACTGGAAACTACCTTATACCGAGCCAGTACTGAGGTCAGTACTGTCTAAAAGAGAGGTAACTGTTTGGGACCACAACTCCCATCAGACCAACCCAACAATGGACAATCTCCAAGGATGATAATAATAATAATAATAATAATAATAATAATAATAATTTATTACAGTCATACCTCAAGTTGAATGTGCTTCGGGTTGAGAGCGTTCGAGTTGTGTTCCGTGGCAACCCGAAAGTAACGGAGTGCATTACTTCCGGGTTTCCCCACTTACGCATGCGCAGATGCTCAAAATGACATCATGCGCATGCGCAGAAGTGGCGAAACGTGACCCGTGCATGCACAGACGCGCCGGCACGTCTTGCGTTCCATTTGGGATGTAAACAGGGCTCCGGAACAGATCCTGTTCACATCCCGAGGTACCACTGTATTTGTACCCCGCCCATCTGGCTAGGTTTCCCCAGCTACTCTGGGCGGCTTCCAACAAAGATGAAAAATACATTAAAATGTCACACATTAAAAACTTCCCTGAACAGAGCTGCCTTCAGATGTCTTCTAAATGTCAGGTAGTTATTTATCTCTTTGACATCTGATGGGAGGGCATTCCACAGGGCGGGTGCCACTACCGAGAAGGCCCTCTGCCTAGCTCCCTGTAGCTTCACTTCTCGCAGTGAGGGAACCGCCAGAAAGCCCTTGGCGCTGGACCTCAGTGTCCGGGCAGAACGATGGGGGGGTGGAGATGCTCCTTCAGGTATACTGGGCCGAGGCCGTTCAGGGCTTTAAAAGTCAACACCAACACTTTGAATTGTGCTCAGCCGCTAGACTGATGGAAGTTGTAGTCCAAAACATCCAGAGCAGGGTTTCCCAAACTAGTGGTCTCCAGCTGTTTTTGGACTACAGCTGGTGCCCCTTCACACAGGAAATATGGGTCAATCACGATCTTCCACTGTCATTTTGCAGCCACCTGGGGAAATTCTGAATGACCCTTTCCTACGTCTTGGGGGTGGGTGGGAATTGTTGTTGTTGTTGTTTAGTCGTTTAGTCGTGTCTGACTCTTCATGACCCCATGGAACAGAGCACGCCAGGCACTCCTGTCTTCCACTGCCTTCCTCAGTTTGGTCAAACTCATGCTGGTAGCTTCGAGAACACTGTCCAACTATCTCATCCTCTGTCATCCCCTTCTCCTTGTGCCCTCAATCTATCCCAGCATCAGGGTCTTTTCCAGGGAGTCTTCTCTTCTCATGAGATGGCCAAAGTATTGGAGCCTCAGCTTCACGATCTGTCCTTCCAGTGAGCACTCAGGGCTGATTTCCTTAAGAACGGAGAGGTTTGATCTTCTTGCAGTCCACGGGACTCTCAAGAGTCTCCTCCAGCACCATAATTCAAAAGCATCAATTCTTCAGTGACCAGCCTTCTTTATGGTCCAGCTCTCACTTCCATACATCACTACTGGGAATGTGGGAGGGAATAAGGTCCACCAAGGCCCCATCGAAAGTGAGAGAAGGGGTGAAAGAGTGATTCCATCATTCTATCTTCATAATTCCTCCTCTCCTTGGATTCAGGGCCAAATGGAGGAAGTGGTTTCCAGCCAAGGACAGCCAGCCAGCGCACCCAACTTTCCTTCACTGGTCTGAGTCACTGATAGAGAGTTGAAAGCCTTGTGTGTTGTTGCTGCCACACTCAGGAAGAAGTTGTAGAGATAAGTGGATTGCAGGATTTGAGTTGTGCGGTCTTGCAGAAGATGGATGCACTCAGAAGGATTTGGGGTGTGTTTGCGTACCCTTGCAATAGATGGATACAAGTTATGACTCTGGGGGTCTGGTTGACCGCCATACCTGCAACCGGAAAGGGAATGTCCAAAAGGTCAGGCAGGCCATACCATGACCCCAAGGAATGTGATCCTTCGCCTTCAGAAGAGGGCTTGAGCCGTTTTCTTGAGTGCTCTGTAGCGATCTGATCTGCTGGTGCAGAGCCCTTATGTAACATAGCTGCATTGCTCTCTGACTTTGCTGAAATGTGAGGATTGTTTGGGAAGGGCAAGTGGTCCTGTTTTTGAGCAGAGAAGTCATAACCACAGACGATCCACTGGCTCCTTCCAAATCTAGTATTCTGCATACGCATATTGAGGTCCGTAAATGCAGCTTTCTGCAAGTAGAACACCCTAAGTTATCGTGGGGAACAGAGACACAGGGAGCGTCTGGCCACACGCCCTGCTTTATTTAAGGTTGGGACTGGCAACAGCGGTGGAGCACTGCAGAAGAAAAACCACTGGCCAATTAGATGAGATACAAGAGGTCTGAGTCAAGTGTTTGGCAGCGCATCAACAGGAGAAGGAGGAGCGCATCAACAGAAGTGCAGTCAAGACAATGCCGACTGCTGCATCATGGCCCAGCAACTGAGAGCAATGCAAAGGGGTGGCTCCTCTTCTCGTCTTTGAGCGCAAATCACCCTTTGCTGGGTTGAGCCCACACTTAACTGTGACGTCAGTCAACGGCTGCAGCTCCCTGTTGGCCCCCGATCACAGTTAACATAGCTGCTGCGGTATGCTGCTTGTTTATTTTATTCCCTAACCATAGAGTCGCAGAGCTGGAAGGGATCCTAACGGTCATCTAGTCCAACCCGCTGCTGTAATGCAGGAATCTCAACTAAAGCATCCATGGTACATGGCCATCCAACCTCTGCTTAAAAACCTCCAAGGAAGGAGATTCCACAACCTCCCAAGGGAGACCATTCCAATGTCTAACAGCTCTTAGCGTCAGAAAATTCTTCCTGATGTTGAGTCACAATCTCCTTTTTGTAATGAAGCCATTGGTTCGAGTCCTGCCCTCCAGAGCAGGAGAAAACAAGCTTCTTCCCTCTTCCATGTGACAGCCCTTAGGATATTTGAAGATGGCTATCGTACCTCCTCTCAGTCTCCTCTTTTCCAGGCTGAACATACCCAACTCCCTCAACTGTTCCTCATCAGGCTTGGTTTCATCTTGGTTGCCTTCCTCTGCACACGTTCTAACTTGTCCACATCCTCCGTAAATTGTGGCGCCCAGAACTGGACACAGTACTCCAGGTGTGGTCTGAACAAATTACTTAAGTAATTTCTAGGCCACCTTGAGCTACCAAGGTGGCGCAAAACAAAATGGCAGTACAATTGGAAATGAAGTCAACATTAAAACAAGGTGGATAACAAATTGATACGGGATAATGCTCAAAGAAAGTTGTACAATGGTAGGACGGGGCAGGCAGAGGGGAGTTTTAGACACCATGGCGTATTCCCCACTACAGGGAAACCTCAGGCCTGGTGGTCAAATGTGGCCCTCCAGGTTTTTCTTTTTCTCACACGCTGTTTCCCTAGCCCAGGGTTTCCCAAACTTGAGTCTCCAGCAGTTTTTGGACTACAACTCCCATCATCCCTAGCAAAGCAGGACCAGTGGTCAGGGATGATGGGAATTGTAGTCCAAAACCAGTTTGGGGGACTCTGCCTTAGGCCTTGTTCCTCAATGACCTTGCTTCACACACCCCTTGCTTGGAAGGAGGATAGAGAAAGGGGTTTGAGAGAGAGTAGGTAGCGATTCCCCTACTATCTAAACATAAAATGGATATTCTGGGCTCCACCCATTTTGCCTCTGGCCCTGCCCTCCATTGTCATGTGGCCCCTGACAGCTTGCCCAAAGGGAAATGTGGCCCTCAGGATGAAAACATCCCCCCAAGTCAACTAGCCAGTCAAAGCGGTGGTGGGAGGATCACACCCTAATTCTGGGTTCCCTCAGAAGTGGAAATTTACCGTCGCCGTGCTGGAAGGGCGGGGAAAGGTGAACGGCAGCGCTGCTTTATTGAGTGCTGTTGAGAGACTTGAAAGAAATGACAAAAGGAATCAGGCAGAAAAGAT